ACTACACACACACACACACACACACACACACACACACACACACACACACACACACACACACACACACACACGCACGCACGCACGCACGCACGCACGCACGCACGCACGCACATGTACACACGCAGGCGCGCGTGGACACACACATTTAACAAATATTAATATAATAAATTTTATTAGGTGTAATAAATTTTGTTATTGTAATTTAAGGAATTTATCAAATACAACCAATAAATAATTTAAATCATCGATTTTCAAAAAAATTTAAAGATTAATTTGTTAAATATTAAACGAAGTCTGTTCTTAAGATATCACTGAGATTAGATGTCATTGTATGTTACGGAGCCTTCTATATATATTACTATTTCTTTCACGTTTATTTTTCTGTTAATCTTTTTATATACTCTCGGATTTATATAACGGATTTATATTTATCTCTGGTACTTAATAATACTGTAAGAAAGTTACTAAGAAGTCCCTAGGATATCCGGTGGATGGCGCCATGAGTGCTGTTCAGTAAACAAAAGAGCGCCTCTCGAACGAACACGACCCGAGTGAGTGACACGAAAAAGGGACCAATCAGACAAGGGCTGATGCAATCCTTGTTATTTCTGAAATCACCGAACGTGCTCCGATGCGCGGAGCAGCGAGCGACGGGTGACTCTCTCCTTAGTCGGCGAATGGGACGGACGTGTCATCCGCGAGAGATCCAGTTGAATAGTCGAAAAGTAGTTGTACTTAATATAGTCGAGATATCGTCTCCAACGATATCTATTAAATCGTAGTATTACGTGGTACTCAGTGAAAATAGATAAATTAGTTAAAGGCAGTGATTGTAGGGAATAACATCGAGATAGCGTTAAAGGCGATATTTATTAAAACGTGTATTAAATCATAGACAATAAATAAAAGACAGACAGTAAATCCTGACAAAAACGGTTATTTTATTTAACTTTAAAAAGAACAAGAAACTTACAATATATATATAAGAAAAGTGAAAAAACATATTAGATAAAATTTTTAGATTAATTTGTGGAAAGAGTTTTAAAATAAACGATATGTAATTCTACATTGAAGTTTTTATTTTTTATGATAATTCTGTAAAATAATAAAAAAAGAGTA